AACTGAACCTGCTTTCAGAGCTCTAAACTATTATATTTATATGATTTTCAAAACACTTGGTATACTGGTATTGCGTGTAGCGCGGCATTGCACTTGTCAATGTAAGTTTTGGTTCACGCCTCAAAGACATATGGCGGAACCCCACCAGTTAGTCCAGGAAAGCAAATTTAATGCGCCGAACAAACATCGACAAAGATTTTTTAAAGGTAGTCTGACTTTGAACATAGGAGTAGAATTCTTGGTAATAAAGCTACTATTTTGTGTAGTGGTTTTCCATTCGCCGTTCTGTAATGCGCACTCTACTTAACTGTTCACAATGTCGAGATGTGCTCATGGAGATGCGACTGTACCAGTAATAAAGACATCTTTTTTTAAGCTTTGTTATTGAATTCTTTATCAGTGCACAAGCTTGTAAATTACCTTCTGCAAGTTTAATTGATTTTTTCCTCCAATTGTTCCAATCATTCTGTTTTATTCTTTCTTATTTATTTTCAATTAGTTTAACAAGATTTTTAGTTCAAGTTATCAACAAAATTTGTATCAAGTTTGAATGAACAAGATAAATTGCGCCTTGCTTTGGTATGCTGTTGTTTAATTTATTGGAGGCATTCTTTTTTACACTTTAATATTTGCCCTTCAGAATTCTTTCCAGAATACTTCTGGGTATTATAAGCTTATCCCAAAAACCATAGCAAAACATGGTGGTTTTTTCTCTACATTTCTTTTGGAATTAGTTGTTTTCAAGGATAAGATTGTTAAAACCACCTTGTTATTCTGAGTTTTTTTCTTGTTCAATGCATTCCTGAAGCAAACTTACTGAAAAATACTTTATTGTTTAATGAGAAAAAGAAATGAACCTGTGATTATTTAGATCTCCTTGCCTAATAATTATCATTAAATTTGCATAATAATAAGTCTATCCTTAATTCTTTTCAGTCTCTTTCTAGTTGATAGAACTTATCAAACATGCATTGGGTTTGACAGAACCATATTAGCACAATGCTTGTTTTCCACCCACCTATTCACGTCAAATTGGACACAGGTCGGGGTCATGTTGGAATTACCAAGTGTGAACAAATTAACTTTTGCCGCTCATTACTATGCTTTAAATTAGTTCGTTAGAATGACAAAGAAATCAGGATACGAAATCAGCACAAAGTCGTAAATGGGAAAATCTATCTATAAATTGTAACGAAATTAGATATTGTGGAACGAAATGATCGAATTCCGCCAGGCAAGAAATACGATTTAATATCATTACAAGGTAAGGACTTGTCTTTACTTCATGAAAGACAAAGTGACAAGAGAATGAACAAGAGTTAGATCTATCGGGTTTCCCGCCACACAATTTAGAATGAATGATTAATTAATTAATAAGATGACAAATGCAACTTGTTTGATGATGGATCAACACACGAGGGAGCGATTACGAGTAATTCGAATATCACCTGAACATGTCCTACACTATTGATATTAAGTATCATTGTCTTGCAAGAACAAATGATTTCATTCGGGTCAAGTTTATGAAAACATCACACCGGCGATGAAGAAACTTTGCGCTTTACCCAAACACGGGGGGGGGGGGGACAAAAAGAATTACTGAGGCATGTTAACGATGGGATGGGGAGTTAAATGTTTTGCATAGCAAAGTACGACTTTATTGCTGACGAAACTCGAGTCAATTACGGATACAATATCTTCAAATTAAGAGATTTGTCATCTGACAATAACGAGCAGGACCAGTTATGTAAAGTAAGGTCAATCTATGATTTTGTCACTCATATTCGTAAGCGCACAATATATACCGTGTTATTATCGAACCAATTATAACATTGTTTTACCACCACGACTGTCCAACAGTATTGATTACAAATAGTTGATAACCGAGATTAGTAGTAGTAATAGTTGTGGGTGGTGGTGCGCTGCGGTGGTGGTGCGGTGGTCTTTGGCTATTTTATTATTAGTACTCGAGATTCGTTAAACGGAATTACAATCCCCACATAATTCGATTGAACTGACTCTTTCCCCCACACATACCCATACCCATACCCATACTCATACCCATACTCGTACCCATGTAGTCAACATTTAAGTTTGCAAAATGCAAATATTCAATAAACGTAAACGTGTCGCGCGCGTGCGTTAAGATTTTCAGAAGCTTTTTATTCCCGTGGTAAGCACATCGATTGTTATAGTTACCCAATTGAGTATTATATGGTTCGGGAACATTCATTTGTGAGATTTCTATGAAGGCAAAATCGACATTGGCAAGATATCTTTTGATGCATGCAGTAAATTCATGCTCACCTGTGCTGTTGTTGTTGTTATCCATTGCGGGAAACTAATGTCTTCGCACGGCAAGCAAAGCATGTTTCAGATTTAGCCATGAGGTTCAGAAATAGACTTTTATTTTATTTTAATTTGGTCATGACCATACAAAGACCAAACAAGTTTTTCGTCCTGTAACGTTAATCATAACTTCAAGGGTCCTGATATTATTACGCATTAACATTCGCATATTATTCATCGTGCATACGAACAACATGTTAATATTCCAGAAAATGCATCATCGTCGGCCATGTGGATATGTATATGCGCAAGTTAATTTATTCCTTTTCGTTCACTTGTATCGAATTAGTATTGATCATTGTATCATTTAACTGCAAATAAACGTTGCGCGATCGGGAACGTCAAGACCACGTATACATGCAATCTAAACATATGGGTCTTTTGGTACCATCCCAAAGAAAGCGTATGAATCTGATAATCAGTTTGGCGATTGGGGTGGGAGAACCTTTTACAACCAAAGTTACCCCTACTTTCCACTAAACCAAAAGCATAAACGTGTTCAGGTCTGAAACACCAAAAAGTTTTTAAAACAATAATATGCGAAATACCATTGATCCGGGAATGTTTAATGATGTAAGGATTTCAACATTGTCAAATGATTTCGCGCACTCTTTTTTTAGTTTCATGTCTCCAATAACAATTCTGCAAGCAATTAAACAAAAAAAAGAAACTGTATAATGATAAACGTGATACTAATATATACTTGGGAATAAACGATCGACATGACGCACTACAAGTTCGAAAGAAGGCAGGCCCGTTTTTGCAAGTCCCGAAAAACCACGAGTTTAGGAACCGTGAAACTTTATTTCGATCACATCTCCCATCTCTCCAACTCTCCCCTTTTTTCCCCTCTATCTCTCTCCCCCCTCCCCTCCCCCATTCCCTCTCACTTTCTTTCTCCCCTTCCCTCCCCTCCCCTTCCCTTCCTTCCCTCCCCCTTTTTTTTGTAAACTTTGACAAGCCGAGCTTAATTTTGGAAGATTGCTTTTCCGTTCATTCGTATAGATCTTCGACTTTTCCAACCTAATTTGGATAATAATCAATGCACATGCAAAGACTAAATCAGTCGTAATAAACAAAAACGTCGGGGGGTAAGTGTCGGGAATCGACAGTAAAAAAATGTATACATATTAGACATCATATATAAATGTGTATGTACATTTTTTTAATCGCGAGAAAAAAGTTACTTGTTTCCCGATCCATACTAATCGCTTTATTTTGTTTAGAATAATACCCAAATTGAGACGTTTCTCCTGTCATAGTGAAACACACTTGTGATGCAATAGAAGAAAGAATGGTCAATGTCATTGTGAATATTCTCGGGCTGATCTTCGGGACTGCATCCGAACCCAAGGTCTTGTGCTTTCAAATTAGGTACCCTCTCATTCGCCCATTCTACCTTTTTGTTTGATCGAATCCGAGACAAATCGAAACTCTAGGAGAAAATAATGTTGATTGAGCGGGAAAAGGCGCTCTCCGAGAGGCTCAAGCGTAGTGAAATGTGTTACTTGTTACGTCATACGTCATTTCAGAACAATGCCAGTAAATAAGAACCTTTTTTTTTTGTAATTGTTCCATCATGTGACAAAACTCTTGTTGATCGCTTATGGCGAACTGCGATGATGACATACCTTTTTCTTTTTGCCTCTTTTTGTTTCTTGTATTATTCCTTGTGCATGTGCAAAAACGGACAAGGCGGGTTAAAATCGCATTATTAATGTGGCATTTAATAAAGCCAACTTTTTTAAAAAAGCATAAGGAAATCTCTTTTTTTGATCCACTGCATCCATATCTAGTAAAATCTGGTCAGCAAAAAAGAATGCTTGACAAATACCGGAACACAATAGCATGTCGTATCGAATTGTGAACAAACTCCACTGTCTGATTGACGCCATTCTCTGCGATTACGCTATTTGTACCATAACTAAATCGCAAAATGGACCATTCCCATTCCGCATTCTCATTCCATTCTCATTCTTTCATTCTTTATGCTTTCATTCTTATCTCTGACTTTATTATACCCTCGCATAGAAAAACGTGTTGTGTACAAGTAAATGAGTAAATGCGTACGAATTTCAATACGTACTTTTAGTAAGTACTCTTGTTACCTAGTACCTATTTATTATATAAAAATAACGTGTATAGTACAATATGTTCTATTTATAACTACTGTCATTACCATTAGTTTCTTTTTTTTTTCCGTTTCGTTTTCCATGAAACATCGGACCGATGAGATAAAACCGGGGTGCCAATTTTTTTTTCGGAGAGGACAAAAACAAATATTTGGATAGCGAAAGGAACGATGGTCAAACGATGGCCAAACGATGGTCAAACGATGATGAAAAATAATGGGTGATCATGTAACGAAACAATGACCTGACTGCTTACTACCCAACGACAGGTTATATATGTATGCGTGTAGATGATCATCGGAATGTGATCTTGGGGGAAAGATCCGCATGTCGTAGGTCAACGTTTCCTTGATTGTATCATACATACCCTATGGTCATGATATTAAAAATAATTCCATTGGTTTCATTTGTTGGTTGTTTTTTTTTTTGACTTTGTGTATACTTCTTTATTCGACAAGTCCCCATGTACGCTTTGTCTAATTGTAACTCTCATGTCAAGTTCTTTCTCCGTGATCGTAGTCACACGGGAGTATCTGCATTTTGTTCCGATTCGATGACACAATCGGGGCTCCTCTCTTTCCGTCGTTGTCTCTCGCCTGAAAAAAGAAAGACCCCGCTTTGGGAATAGAGATCAGCATTTCCATGAGTGACAACAATGAATGACAAAATAGATAAGGTTGGTTTGGATAGGGTTGAATAGGGTTGTAATGGGGTTGTAATGGGGTTGTAACGGGGTTGAAATGGGGTTTGAATGTGGTTTGAATGTGGTTGATTGATATCCTTTGTATAGGTCTCTATTTTCTCCCCTCACTCACTCTCACGCTTTTCTCTCATTCTTTTGATATTACTATATCCAGTAATAAACAAATGTTTGTTCAGAGTCTGGACAGACCATGCCCTTACACGAATTAACCTAGCTGCATCAGATGTCCAGTGCAATGAGTTTATTCTCCACGGAGCCAATCTAATAATACCACCTGACAAATCTGTTTCCATATTGGTACACTAGTATGTCTCAGTCTGAGGGCTAGAACTACTATAACGGGGATTCGATTAAAAGAAAGGAAAAAAACTTAATTGTACGTCGACATTGTGTCATTAAGTACAGTATTACCTTATGTACAGTATATGTAAGCGTAAAAGTGTGCGTGTATTTGCAAAATACGTTATACTAATGTCATGATACTAAATGTTAGCGCACACACACCCTTTTTTTTTTTTTTATTTTTACTCTCACCCCACTTGACCACATATGTCGGCTCTTGGCCTTGGTGATAATGTTGACAATGCTTGCCAAGGTACGGTTGTTACCTGACAAAGTTGTAATAACGCACCTGTCGCAATGGTTTTAATTCCTTGTGGTCCTTTACTCTCGACCTCATGCTTTCTTCAATTATTAATGCTTTGTTTGTTTTTCGTCACCTCATTTCCTTGTACTCTCGTCTTTCCTATCACCATCACGTCTTACAAGCGTTACTTAAAATCCAACATGAATAGTTTTATCTAGCTTCAATTAGTAATTGCATAGAATGCTGTCACATAACTAACTACAGAACGGGGAAAGTTTATCCTGTCGAGCTAAATTCATACGGCATGTGTGTATCCAGTCAGGACATTGGGTAAGGTATTACGCGGCAACGAGGTGCATATTTTTGATCGGATGAGCGGCAAGAGATTGGTGGATGCGAATACATGCGCCAATACATTTTACAACATAGAGTAAAACGCCATGAAGGCGAGTGGGGCAAGAAGACGAGATCGATTGATGGATTACAGGTCCATGATATGCAGTCTGTTCGAATAGACAATGATGACACTATAGTCTTGTTGTGCTGTCATACTGTTTTGATAAAGTTCCGTTGGTGCTTTTTGTAGTCGGTTACTCGAATGAACTTTCGGGATATTGCTTAATAATATGAATTAATATGGATTGAGTGATCATTCGATTATTAGGTACATTATTCCGAAACTGCGCGCAAAGCCAGAGATCGACTATCGAATAAAATGTAAATTGTTTGCTACACAAGAACCCGATAACAGTAGTTAGGCCTTTTTTTGTTACAGTAATAAATCTGTACCAAACAATGTTTGTAGTTCAGAATGTTTACACAGCTTCTTTTACACACACAACACGCATAGATACAATATTTGATATGCATATATTGAAACAAGTAATTAATACTTTTTTTCTGAATCTGAATGAGAAAAGGTGCCGGGGCCAGGACCCAGCAGCATCCGACATACTTGGCATGCGAGTGAGTAAGTAGAGTGTGTGAGCGAGTAGGAAGAGAAGACCTGTGGGGTAACCGTTGAATAGCAGAATAGGGTGAGTAGGTGAGAACGCAAGGGTATAGTAGGCCGTTGATATCTATATGCAACTACGCCAACATAATTAGTGTTTGTAAGTTGATTGGACATCTAAATTAGCATTGGTTATGAAATTTGTTCAGTCAAGTATCAAAACCGGGTTGATAAGCGGATGTAGTTTGATTAGACTAGATCAGATGTAGAATCAGAATAATAACAGATAAGATAGTGAAACGGCACTTGGTATAACAAATAACACATACCAATGATATGGTTGGTAGTGCAAGTTGGCATATTTCCCTTTTTATATCCCAATCACAATGAAAGGTTTTACTGACCGGTCCCCGTTATTTTCTCTAAAGAATGTCTTCCACGGGCTTCCATCTACGGATCTACCCCTCATGACTGCTTGCTATTATTTAGCCTCACGTTCTCAGGGTGTGACAACTGGAACAATTTGCACCAATAATAAAAGTCTGTTTCCTTGTCTGGGTTTGTCCACGATTACTCCAAGCGCGTGGTAATGGAGCCATTATTAATACCCAATGGAAAACAAGTAAATATTTGATTGAGCCAAGCTTGTAACAATATAAGCTACATGTACATAGCATAAACTTGGGGAGAATAACAAATACGCGTCTGACGAATATAGATATCAATGGAAGAATAATGGGAGGAGGAGGGTGAGAAATAAAGCAAGTGCGAATGTATTAAGGTATGCATTTCATGAGTGCAATGGTAAACACGTACGCATGGATGGCATAGCAACTAGACTACAAACGACAATCAAACGATAATCAAAACGATAATAACAATAACAATAACAATAACAAAAACAATGACGGCGGCGGCAAGCAGCAGAAGAGTCTAGATTCTCGGACGGATGGAGAAAACAAGCACGACAAATAAACAAATGAGGAAAAGGAGGAAAGTGTGGGAGAAGTAAAAAAATAAAAAGAGGAAAAGAAAAGACATACATCATGTAAACGTAACAAACAATAGCATATACATAGCATACACAGATAGAATACGCACATAGCATACGCACATATAGCATACGCACATATAGCATACGCACATAGCATACGCACATAACATACACATAGCATATAAACAAATAACAAAAAAGGAATAAAATAAACCAAAGATAAACAGCTACGAGTCTTTTTTTACCCAAAATAATTTATCAAGTATATGCATATGAAAACACTCTATTCACGAGACAATCGTACGTTTCCGCTCGTATAACATTCGTTCGTCTGTCGTCAGTGTTGCTGATCATTGGTACAAAAGCTGATTTCAACAGTAATTTGCTGCTAATACTTTTCAATCCATGTTTTCAACCACATCTACGTTACGAATGTTTCTATAACGGGAAATGAAAGGGTAACAGAAAAGCGTATTCTAGAAGGAAAAAATCGAAAATTGCCGTGTTTAAAAAAAGATTTGTATTGTGTGTATGCTATGACTATGACTATGACTATAGATGGCGTATGTATGGCGACATGTGCGATAAAGGGTATAGTGTATTATAAGAAAGTATATGGTCTAAATATGTATGGCCCAAGTATAAGGTCTAAAAATCTGTATTTCAAGCTAGTCTAATTTTTTCATCATTTCTTCTTACCGACCGCTATATCGTCGTCGTCATTGCTGTATCGTCATTCCTGTATCGTCGTTCTTGTTTATCGTGATACGTCACACTGGTATTTTATGCTTGGTAATACTCAATGTTGGTGATACATCCAACTCCACAGATTGGACGAGGCGTAGTAACAACCATACGTCTAAAACGAGTATATTTATGATCGATTTAGAAATATAGGCTATCTCAGAATGTATTCGCGCGCTCTCCTAATGAGGTTAATAACATTAGGACATGTGTACAATTTTCTTTTCGAATAGGATGTTTGCATAAAATATACTATCGAATGAACAATATAATAGAATCTTTTGACATTGTATATAAATAAATATACAGTACAGTAACAGCGTAGTAAAGAGTAACATAGTATAACAGCAACATAGTAAGTAACATAACAAATAGTAACATAGTAACATACATAGTATAACAATGTAGTATAGCGACATAACAACACAGTAACATAACAACACAGTAACATATCAACACAGTAACATAACACCATAGTAACATAACAACATAACAACATAACAACACAGTACATAACAACATAACAACATAACAACATAGTATAACAACATAATAACAATACATCACATTACATACTTGTACATATTCTAGTATATATTCCATTGATATGTTTGATGTACTTATTAAACGATGTTTCAAACAAATACCAAAAATATCCAATACATCACAACTATAATAATGTACCTCTTTATTTTTTTTACCCTCTTTTACATTACACTACAATCCATATCCATCCACCGACATCCCAACATTCCATCCATCCATTCCATTTCAATACAATTCAACCTCTTACCATTTATAATGCATTTATACTATACAGCCATTATACTAAAAGTACTACTTATTGGTTCGTCCTTGTTTGAAATGAGTGTGGCAGTTTTTTGCTCCCATTCTGGACCAAACAGCGCGCGCCTCGTGCCCAAATTTGGATGAATATCTACCCCCCCTCGACCCAAACTCTACCACCTTGCGCCAATCCTTCTTTTCCTTCTGACTCTTTAAACTGTTGCCTAGGGCCCTTTTATTCCTTCTTTTAAATACTACTCTCTTTTAACCAGCTCTTTTTTTCCATACAAACCCAAAGCTCTTTAACGCGAGCTCGACAATCTCTTCTTGCTGCTTATTTCTCTCTTTAGCAATACATCCTTATCCCTCCCCTCACCTCCCCCCTCAAGGGTTTACCATCTCTACTGTTTTTCGCTTTTTCCTCTTCATTTAAATCCCCCCTCCCTCCTCTCTCTTTCTCCTCTCTCCGTCTTATACTTTACATACACGTTAGAACAAAGTATCTCAAGATAGAATCTTTTGACTGCTCTTGTTCTACATTCTCAAATATCAGTGACGAAGGTATCCCTTTGTAAAGGTAAGGAAACGAAAACATTCCAACAAAAAACTCTTACCATATTTTATTTTCGGCCGTCGTCTTTGAATAAACCAATTTACTCGATAGCGTTAGTACCCTCCACATAACTGTCAACATTCCTAATTATATAAGCCTATTGCCAACAATACATGTCACATTGCTAAACAATAATACGTTAAAACTACAATATTATATGATATTTTTATATTATACATAAAATACACAATACCCATATTTTTTATATACATTTTATTTATCATCCATATCTGTGGTATATATACTCACAGACCCCTCTCAAAGAGACCCCTACTAACTCTTGATCTTTCTTTTTCATTCGCTCGTCTCTCCTTCCCTCCTTCCCTCCTTCCACCCAATTCCTACACTCGTTTGAAAACATTCCCTAACCCTCAATAGCTAAAAACTGGTCGAGCTTGACTTGGGTTCAAAAGATAGTATAAAAATCCATTCATTAATTCCTATACGACGACTGCATCAATCATGACTGACTATACCTTATCAGAAAGACCAACGAAGCGAGCCTATCTGGGTCCAAATACTAGCATGGACGAAGACATAACCGAGCAATTCTTCCAATATACTACTGACCTTACTACTGACCTCACTGCTGACCCCTTCTCAGTTTCCATGCATTACTCGGCAAATAATGACAACGATAAGAATGCCGTCGCCGTGGAGCCAAACGGTACTGGTACTACCGTTATTACCACCTCTCAAAAGGCTCTTGATGATGCCACAACTAATTCACAAAAGGGCACCGAAGCATCCGCAACAGTCCCTGACGATAACAGCAAGGCTGAGCCAGCGAATAAGGAGATTGCCGTAGACGTCGGCAAAATTGGCAAGCCCAACTCTTCCAAATCTCCATCTACCACCACTAACTCCAACACCTCTCAATCTACAACCTCCCCTTCTCAACAATTACCAACAAACAACAGGAAGCGCACTCGTGCTACTCCTGAACAACTCGCTATTCTGGAAGAGACCTTCAAGACAAACACCTCACCAAATAGCAAAGTCCGCGAAGCCCTAGCAGAAAAAGTAAACATGTCTGAGCGCTCAATTCAGATATGGTTCCAGAATCGTAGAGCAAAGATGAAGGCCATGCAGAAGCGTGTTCACATGATGCGCGAGGAAAACATGAAAGTCCAATTTCTGTGCATGCCCCAGTTTGGCAACTTGTATCCGTTCCGCGTAGCTCCTATGCACCCTCGCATAGCCCTTCCTCCTCGTTCTTACAGCAACAGCGATATTAATATTTCTAATGTCGGGATAAACCCCACGTTACGTCCACAGCCTCCAGCCGGCTTGGGAATAACTATCCCACAAATGCCTCAAAGTTTCTGGCCGTCAGGACCCATGACTGCCCCTTTGACTAACATGTCCTCGGACCCAAATGTGATGAGTGGGTTCCCCTTCTCGGCTGGTAACGTTCAGGCGAGATTCCCTATCACGCCTACTGCTAGTCCAAACGTCAGTGATGTTAATGCTTCGCAGCCTTTGCGGCTTGTCGTTAACCCCAGCAATCCCGCCGGTGGGATACCAATGAAAATGAATGGTAATTAATTATATGAATGTGGAAAGAAAAAAAAGTTTGTATTAGCATATACGAGAATACTAACTCGCAAAATTTTTACTCTTCTCCCCCTCCTCTTCTTTACTTTTTTAGATACCCCAATCTCTGTTCAACCTCCTCAACAGTTCACAACTTCACAAGAGTTCACGTCTCCCTCACTTACACAGATTTCCTGTGAAATTTTAATGATCGGTTCATGGCGTCGTATTCTTAGCATGCCACAAGACTTGTTATGTTACTACACTCTCCCACAACGAGTTTTCACATATCAAATCGCCAACGAAGGATCCCGTTTCAAAATGGATTTCCCGCTCTCTGAAATCACGTCAATCGAATACAGGTCGTTAGATAACAACGCCTGCCAAGTAGCAATCGAAGTCAAAGACCCACCTAGCTTTTACATGGAACGTAATGGTGCTTGGTCCATGTGCAAAGACTTTACCGAAGGTAGTCAAGCTACTCGCCATCTCAGACATGTATTGAAAGGACGGTCTGAGCTCATGAAGAAGCAAATTCTGAAATTGGTTCAAGATGATCCCCAAATTGCCAAAGTTGTCACAATTGTCGAAGAACCCGGAAATCTCAATTACGTTCAACCAGCAATACCTCAACAGCAGCAGCAGCAGCAACCACAGCAACAACAACAACAGCAGCCACAAATACAGCAACAGTTGCGTAGATCTTCATTCCCCAAGGCTACTGAAAAAGATTCTCTCTCTGATGAAGAAGTAACCAGTATCAATATAAACACAAACAAACAGATGCTCAACCGTACACGTCGCTGCGCTTCTGTTCCCGTTTCACCCGAACAGCCTGCAGCCGATAGCGCTGTTCTTGCTACTGCTACACCTGCTATGGCACAAAACCATTTAGGTCTTCAGATTAATACAACAGAATTTGCATACAAACAAAGAATGCGAGCAACGGGACAGGATCCCGCAGTGGGCCCGAACGATACTTCTCCGGTGACTTGCTCCCCACTGGACGGTAACTCTCCACCCACGCCTTTGGATATGTTCGATACCACATCAGAAATGATAGATAATTCTCCGCTTCTCGCTGAGGATACGTTCAATGTGACCCAATTTGACAACAACATGTTTAACGATGACTTTTCCGCTACTTATGTGAATAACGGTGGCCTGCCAGATGATTTTGCTAGTCTGCTTGCCGCTGTTCAAAATGGTTCTTCGGTTGGTGAACTCTTGGATTTTGGCGATGGTCTTGGTGGCGGCAATGATTGCATGTCCGCTCTTGATTCTTGGGTGAATGGTAACGTTTACTGCTAAAGCTTTCGGTAAACTCTGACATTCGGCGAGTCGGTTTGTCTTGTAGACGATCGACTGAGCTTGTTATTCGCGCGAATCGGACAATATTTTTCATCCCTTGTTTAAACACCATTCTTCCCTAATTTCTATACCTAATTATCACACACATGCAATCAAGCTTCTTCTATAATACATCTACGCCAAATAATATCTAGGACACAAGTTGAACTGTTATGCTTCCAAATATATGAGGTTGACTCAAGCTTCGTTCTAAGACCTTAAGATTGAGATATGCACAATTCCCATCTTAATTTTAATATTCCATTCATTCATTTTCATTATCATCATCACACTCTGGGGGACAATATATAATCGTTCGAGATTAGATTAATTTAATTCATAATTGCGCACCACTTGTTTATCTCTATGTTCAATATTTTTTTCGCTACAAACGACAATCATAGAGGTTCTCTTTTAGTTCTTTCCGTTTAGCCATTTTTCTTTCTCCTTTTTACATATCTTTCACCGTTAATATCACAAACCCTCTCACACAATTTCCGCACCGTTGGTGGTGGTTCGCAGCTGATCTGCTGATTTGGCGCCAAATTCTAACGATTAGACTTTTATAATCAATAGATTTTATATTTTTCCCCCTTTATACACCCTTTCCTTCCTTCAATATGTACATTATGTCAACCCCCTTTTTTACGTTCTTTACATTAACCCACTCAATTTTATTCATTCTCTTATTCTGAAACTCTCGATGCTGCAGTCTTTGAGAGAAAATTGTTTTGATAACATTATATATATTATTAAAGTTTGCTTGTGGTCAGAGAAGACCTTTGTCAAATACAAAACTTTCTTTTCACTATAACTGTTGGTCCATCCCATTTATTATAGACGTTTTGTTAGACTACAAAACTAAAACCACAAGGAAAAAGATCAAACAACTCGGCAGAAACAAACAAACTAAAAAAAAAAAAGAGCAAGTTGGAGTTTTGGGTGATTTTAACCTTTAAAAGATCACGGACGGATCGTGGAAGAATTTGCGGGATATGGGGCAGGTGAGTGGGTGATTAGTGATCGTTTGCGAAAGAGAAAATAGTCAATGTTATTGTTGGCAATAACACTCACATTGCAAAAATCTATTACTGCACCCACCAGTTTGGAACCGCTCAATATTTATCCCGCGCATTTCTTACAACTGCATTTATTCTGTGATTATAAAAAAAAAAAAAAAAAGAGTCCAAGCCAAAGCTTTTTTAAAAATTTCTTTACCTTCCTGTGTATACGTCTTGAAAATTCCAAACTTGTTTTACAGATTTGTTCTTATATATATCTTGGTGCTTTTTCTTGCTGTAATGATTGCGCGATACTCTTATTTCGCAATTTATTACAAGTGTGTCTATAGCTCTTTTTTTTTTTCTCGAGATTCTCTCTTTTCATATCAATATTGTCATCTTTTATTTTATTATTTTATCATTATATTTTTTTTCTGTATTTACTGAGATTGCTTTGTTATATTTTTTTTTCCCATTCATTTCGGTTGTAAATAATATATTATCTTGCATCATTTATCAATAAACGTTCATCTTGTATGTACAAAAGAATTGGGGCCTTCTGCTTGGCATGGGATATAAAAAATCGAGCGCTCCGTCATAGCTAAATATTCTTTATTACGTATATAGCCATTACAACATATCACTATCCATTGCTAACTGGTTGTAAAGTCGGAAATACGCTCCCTTCTTCTTCAACAGTCCGTGATGCGTGCCTTATAAAGCATCGTCGAGTTAGACGAGTCGATTATTTTTCACGAGAAAATTACCACTTTCTTACCTTGCTCTATCACATTGCCTATGTTTCGTCCCATAACAACCTTTTCAAATAGTATTTTTAAACGTTAGTAAATTTTGACCCGATGACAGCAAAACATGCGTTTATTAATGCTTACAATCAAGTCGGCAGACTGTATCGTAGATAGCCGGTGTGCTATGACAACGACAGTTCGACCTTTCATGAGTTTATCAAGAGCCTCTTGTACCAACTTTTCTGATTGATCTTGAAAAGACAAACGTTCATCCATTAGTATTTGTGACAAAGAGTGTGTGTCAACATCAATAACAAAAATACTTACTGTCTTTAGCGAGAAAAGTGTCGTATGTAGAGATTGAGATAAAAAACGTCTCGTCATTATTACAACATCAAAATAAATATGGGCAAACATTACCTAACGCGCTCGTCGCCTCATCCAGTATCAATATCTACAGGATCCCAAAACCATTCTCAGTCAACAAATATACGAATGTAAAATACCAAATCTTGTTCACATACCTTGGGGTCTTTTAGAATAGCACGTGCAATTGCGATCCTTTGTCGTTGACCTAATTATCAACGGTCTAGTCATTACATGCCTTTGCATACCATTCACACTTTCCGTGCATCAATAAAAACGGGTAATGACTGCCTTTGCGTCACATCCCAACTCACACTCCAATCCACACTAACGACACCCCCTCTTACCTCCAGATAAAGTAACTCCCCGTTCGCCAAGTACAGTCTCGTACCCGGCTGGAAATCCCTCAATGAAATCGGCCGCATTGGCCTTTCGGGCCGCTTCCTCAACCTCTTTTCTAGTGGCGTCTGGTTTCCCATAGCGAATGTTTTCATAGATCGTAGTGGCAAATAAGACAGGTTCTTGATTGATATAACCAATGTGACGTCTCAGCCAGCTGGGATCGAGTGATGATAGTGGTACGCTGTCGAGGATAATTTCACCGGCATCTGGGTCATAAAAGCGTTCGATCTGTGTGCGTGGTCATGATAAGTGGCAAAGGAAAAAAGGCATACGGAAAAATGATAATATGGGACTCACCAGTGCTGCAACCGTTGACTTTTGATTGAAAGTGGTTAGGTCAGACATGACTGGCTAAGAGATTGTCAGAAAAAAACAACACAATATTTTTACCTTTCCTGATCCTGATGGTCCGCATAACGCGACCATGGTTCCACTCGGAATCCTTAGACTGAAATTCTTGAGAATTACTTGATCCGGCCGTGTCGGGTATCTAAAGTCGACATTTAGAAACTCAAGGTCGCCTATTGGGACAGTGTGTGGGTGAGCGCCCGTGTTAACAATTTATTAACAAACTAGCATTTTTAGGCATCATCGATTTCTTCCTCTTCTTCTCACCCTTCACATGTTCTGGCTCAATGCCTCCCGTTAGCTGAATAGTAGGCTCCGTGTGTATAAACTCGAATACACGGTTGGCTGAAGCCGCTGCCTTGATTGTCTGACCAAAGAGAACTCCAAGTGATACTGTATGCGATTGCAATTGTTGATTCTTGGTGAGTAGGTAAACGCGGTGGTATTAAAAGAATCCGGTTTTTCATTACCAAGAGATTTTTGAGTTGATTGTACCGAAATCATGTAACTGGATACCAAATATATAGTTAGTCTGAGTTTAAACAGTTCAACTGTTTGCGTTCTCAACTAATACTGTGCTTACTTCATGAGATCTCCACCGCTAATTTCGTTCTTCACCACAAGTGATCCTCCGTAGTATAAGACAATGAGCACCTAATGGATAAAACATATTTAATTCACCCGACAAAAGTACAATGGTACTCGCCTTAGCACGCCACTTACCATACATCCTATTGTCGAATTGGTTATGCCTACCAAAAATACATATAAATGATTATTATTCAGGCATGCATTTGCAAGCGTCAACGCTATCTGATCAGTTACAAGTCGCTCACCTTGGAATAGACCCACATTATATCCTAGTAATATGTTGGCTTTAGCAACATCTCTACATACTTTGCTATACATTTCTGTTTCTCTTGTTTCGGCTGCAAAAGCACGTACTGTACGGATATTGGATATACCCTATTAACAGGTAGATTTTCACATATGACTCTTACGAAATAAACAGCAAACCCTTATACCTCAATCACTCTGCTACGCGCTATAACTATCAATATTTTTACCTCGCCAGCAATACCCGAAGCAATGGCATCTATAGATCTGGATCTTTTCGATAGTTCTCGCAAATACGCCCCATAGGCGTTAAGCAATGCGTAGATAACAGGCATTGTGGCGCACAGAGTGAACGTGAGCGAAGTTGAGATACGTAACAGAGCAACCGCTGATCCAATTGTCTGAGTGACAGCTTTTAGACCCTAAAACATTTTATTGTAATCGATAATTAATATGTAGACGGTATGTGTGTATACATGACAATATCGACTTACCAAAGTAATGATCTGTTTGAATGTATGCTAAAATTGCAAGAACTGGTATTTAATGCATGATCGAATTATGCAATTAAAAGCATGCCAAATAATAACCTACCTTGAATTCATGAACATCGGTGGTCAGCCTACTGACCAATTCTCCTGATCTATATTTATCAAAGAATGCAATATCTTGACGGATAATAGCCGAGAATAACTGGTTCTTGAGACGCTTTGCCATATTCTCACCGAGAATAGACACGAGCGAGATATGAAGAAACGTCAGGAATCCTATATAGAACGTGACGATATACATTATCAATGTCAACAACGCCTTTGAATACTCTAATGGGTAATGAGAGACACACCTTGCATTCCGAACAACGCCAACAGCTTCATAGCAGGTTCCTTGAGATCGTTCAAAACAAGAGATCCTTCGTTGATAGACTTGGCTATAATATTGATCAATTCTCCGGTAATCTTTGGTGTCATCAAGTTTGTCACTGCGGCGGCAACAGCGGTAATTACGACTGTGATTAGCAGTAGCAAGTCGGGCTTGACCAGTTGCCATATGTCGTAAGTGACTGATCTTTTGTTATCAGCAGCATTCTGATGCTTTCGTGTCGGTATATCTATGCTAATAACTGCCAACATGTGATGTTTGAGTAAACGACAGGGCAAGCTGAACGCTAGTGTCAATCGCTATCGACATACCTTTTTCATTATAGCCGTTGAGAAAGCCTTCACATCTTAATATGTACGGGTTATTAATAAGATGGACAACTTTTAGTGATACGATAACGCCTGTTGCTGCTGTCAATATGTCATTCCCAATTGATCTTGATACTCTTTGCGCCCGCGACAGTTTCGGTAATTTGACTGTTGTTTATTATATTTTAGATCACATCTCATGATTTGAATTCAATCAGAATGATAGATACTGAACATACTTGGTAATCTAGTAGATAAACTGAAATGTCTGAGAGAGTGCACGATACTGGTGAATATACATCGTATAAGAATAGCTTATCCAGTTTCTCCATCCACAATGGAAGCGTCACCTTGTGCTCAACCAGTCATTCCTCATCCGCAACGGCATTTTTAGATTTATATCGTCGATGATTTTGCTTCGACATACTAATACAGGTCTAACATGAAGTCGCCTGGTATTCCATATCACTCTTGGCGAGATCGATGTTCCTCTGCAATATAGCTACAATGAAATCATTTGACATTAAACAGTAGACAAATGTAAACACATCTTATATCTCTAAACTTACCGTTCCCAATGGTAAATGCAATTTAAATGGAATCATCTGCTGATTAAGAATTTTGTGTATTAAACATTGGGCATCTATTATAACTAATTAATTTTGTAAAAACACTTATTCCTAATTTATTTACACGTGTCTTGAATAACTGATAGTGCAACACAATGCATTCTCGTCCCGTGATTTCAAAAACACGGTGACACAAGCATCGCACGTTGTCTACAAACTAAACCACTTTTATTTCGTTTCCTACAATACAATTATAGTTGGTCATCAGGCCAGATATTCAATTGCTTGAAATTTTGAAGACAGAGATGAAAAAACAAACAACGTTGACGTCTTTCGGTAAATAATTTAAAAAGAACATGAAGAGATGAATAACATGCTAAAGTCATAGGATATATTGTTGCCTAATCCCGGGTGTTTATCACATAATAATAACTAGTGGAATCATGTATAATAATAAGTCAATAATTATTTAAATATTCAATAAACATGACGTATAAGTAAATAGTCTACCTCGTCATAATCTAAATTATGTGTCTCGTCTGTTACCTCAAGTGGAATCAAGTTAACCCAATTAGCAGGTAAACAATCCAAAAATCCCAAATTATTATTCCAAATGGGCTTGATTTGCTGAGGCTGTTTGTAATTGGGTTTTTAATAAACTCATCGAGTTGTTTTATTGTTGCTAAGTCCATTCATTGCATAATTGTTTATGCGCCACACACTGAGCCACACCAGAGTACAATCGAACCTCCGTTATACCGAAGGACTAAGTAAAACCACGCTATTACCGAAGGTAAGTACATAGCAATTGAACCCCATTTACTAATTAAACCTCCATATACCGAGTTTCTTGGAATTTTTGCTTTATATTCCCGACCTCTTCGTTATAACGGGGTTCGACTGTATTCCACATGCAGTGCAGAAATCCATATCGAGAATAATAATAGTAAAACTTTCTATCAGCAACCATGTAATAGTAATCATCGTATTGGTAAAACCTTTGATGAATTTGTTGCGACGATTAAGCCATGTGTAAATTGACTGACGTCATGGTCGTATTGTGTGTTAGAAGTGAGTATAGTCTAGCAAACTCACAAGTGCTACTGTACATTCTTCGCTGTTTCCAACTAGTGAAAGCGTTATCGTCGTTTTACCAACTCACTGTTTTTGCTTGCGAATAACGTTGTCAATTTGAGTTGACCTTATTTCGGTAATTTACCGAGCTATGTATCCATACAAGTTTATCATTGCATGATTAATCAAGACGTGAATTGTAAATTTGAATATTTTGAGCACATTTTTTCGTTATAAACCCACAAAAAATGCTAACTTACAAAAAACGCGAGCGGATTCGGCCTCGTAAGCCAACGCAATGCCTACTAAAATACTATTTATTAATGGATACAGTTGCATTTCATAAGCATTTTTTTTTTCATTTGCTCTCAAATTTTCTAAAGTTTAGCAGAATAAATTTTTTTTATGCTTGCGTTCAATTACGTTCACATACTTTCCCAACCCTTTATCACCTGACGGCGAGAATTAACCTGCGACGCTGTTAATAGACCCCTCGTAATTTGGGATAAATAAATAAACAATACTTTGACCCAATTTTCCTGCATATAATGTAATATTAATATATCACAACTGATTGCCAGTAAAATTACAGCCCGATTGAATTTATCCGACAAAAGTTTCAACATCAAATATTTTACCACCGGATATCATAACGCATGTGCAATTTTTGTCACAAAATTCATATCTCTATACTATTCAAATTTTTTATTTCATTTTTTTCTCAATATCAGAATTCATTAATATTAATATAGTTTCTGAACAAGTTACTGGTGTAATTTTTATTACAACGCAAATAATTGTAGGACATGGCACGGGTAATACCATGCGCGTTTATTATTGTCAAGTCAATTCTTCCTATTTGATTAACCACCAAAAAAGTATGTAGAGGTAAATTTGACAAATGAACCAAAAAAAAAAAAGCAAATTGATTAAAAATATGTGGAGATATAGATTTTTTGAAGTTTATGTCGAAATAAGTAACAAGAAATTTTAATGTTTAGAGACAAATATTGAATGTATAACATACTTACAGGTCACTAACTGTTTGTTTAAGTTTAGTATTAGCTATCGCTGAGGTGAGCTACACGCTTTCAAAAATGCAGCTAAATATTTAACCGAATTAATAGTCATATGCTCTCCTGACTTGACAACTGACAGCCTAGAAATTTGCAAGTACAAAGCATTTTAATTAGAATACATAACAATTGTTTGTAACTAATAATTAATTTGCTCACATGTCATTGGACTATTACTGTAAATGCATATTTCTTATAAGCTTCTTAGAATCACAAATGCTCTTTACTATTTATATTACTGTTACTATTACAGAAATACTTCTATTACTATATATACACAGTAAAAGTCGATATAACGGACTGCTCGGGACCAGTACTTTTGTCCGTTATATTGACGGTCCGTTACATCGAACAGTGAGT